AATTTACACAAACTTGAAAAAACTGAACACAGTTATATCACTAATAAAATGTGTCTTAGATAAATTCGCTACAAATCCTAGAAATCTATAAAACAGCAGCATAATATTTTTTTTTCAGAGTTTACTATTTATGTTCAACGCCCATATATAAAGATATTTCTAATATAAGAAAATTATTAATATGATAAGAAAAAACCATTTAAGATCCTTACCTTTCTTTTAATGATTTGGCATTCAAGAAAAATAATAGAAAATAAACTACATCGCCTTTTTATTTATGATATTCTTCCATTATATCATATACAATAAAATAAATCACGTCATAAAAGAAAAAAGAACATTTTGCAGCAAGCCAGACTGAAACCTCCATGTAAAACCCCAAATGAATAACAAGATCGTTGCTTTCTCTGTTCGTAAAACTTATATTGCCTTTCATTTTCTTTGAAAAAAAAAATACATATTTATAATAAATAATAAGAACTTCTCTTCTAAGAATTTCTCAACCTCATTTTCGTCCTCTTCACTTGCTCTCTCTAATAACTAATTTAGAAATAAATCTTCTTATTTAAGAAAAACGACTACACATTTTTTAAGAAAAAATGCATAATAACTTATACAAAAAACCTTTTCAGTTGCATTATTTCATATTATTACGAAAAATAAAACAATTTAAAACAAATATAAAAAGTAATGTACGGAGCCCGTAGGACTCGATCCTAAACTCGGAAACTCCAAGGCATTTTGAGTACCACTTGACCAAAACTGCTCGTTTATTGTATTTAATCTACACGACCTTCACTTTTCCTGTAAAAAAAAGAAATTTCTCTATAATAAAAATAAATCCTTAATAACTTAATTCTTAGATCAATTTTCTGTCTCACTTTTACATCTAAGTATATTCACACGTCGACAAAACATTTTAAAAAGGAATCCACGTTTTTAAAATGGATATATTTGAAGAAAATTTAAAAAATATCAAATTGTATAGTATAAAATATTGTATTGAGTATATTAATTTGTAATTATCTGCCATTATATCACTCCCAACAAATAATGCAATACTGAAAAAAAAAAAACCGGAGAAGTAATGTTACGCAGCCAACAAGATTCTAACAAGTACGGGGAAAACGAAAGGTTTTAAAAGTCTTTAATTTACATCACTCCAATACCAGACTACTCGCTTGTTACATAAAATCTGAACTTCCTACAGAAAAAAGGAATTTCCTCTACAAAAAAATTCTTTCTTGACTGCAATACTTCACTTTTTACTTTTTTACTGGACACGCTTAATGTTAAAATAAAAAATAAAGCCCCTTTTAAAGCTCTCTGGTTTTTTTTTTCTAATGCAGCTGGCAAACACATAGACAGCTGTCTTGGTTGTCTTAAGGCAAACGCTGCATAGACGTTACTCACTTTGCATTACCCAGGGGCGCGTGTAACTTGAAGACAAGCCTCGAAACGCTCTACGATCCTATTAGCCCGGAACCTAAGGTTTAAAGTTGATTCCAAACCACTACAAATTTCCATGGCACCATCGAGACTCGAACCCTAAACGTCTGGTACCGAGCGCTAGCTACTCGGCCATTCAGGCCTCCTTTTAGTAAATGTAACAAAAGATATATTTTATTACTTTTTCATGTAACCACTTTCTTCTATTATATCAAACAAAATGAAGCAATTAAAAAAATACTTAAAAAGAATATCTCGAAAATGGTATAATTCAAAATTCCACAAGAAGATTCCAAAGAATTTTAAGCCAATCAACTTAACTATTCGGTCACGATTGCGCTTTTATTAACTGAAATTAACTGAATTGATTCAAATTAAGACAAATATATATCTATATAATGAAAATCAACTAATTAGGATTTTCTAAATCCCATTCTCCATTAGAGGGTTCAAATCTCACTACCTCAAGTCAAGTCAAATTAAATCACACTTTATTTCCATCACTATTGTCCTCTAAGCGTTAATATCCTATTGAATTTCGAACAAATTACAACGAGTACTTGGAGATAAATGCACATTCTAAATTTCAAAACACGAAAGGCCATTTTTCATAGAAAAAAAATGGGTGATGACCTTTTAGTAAAATCAGCCATTACAACTCATATAAATAAATATTAAACAGTAACACACAGAGATTATACAGCTATTCTGAAGACGACAAGATTCGAAAGTCACGGGAAACCAAAATTGATTGCATGTCCATCGTTATAACCACTCTGACACGACTAGGCAAATAATAACACAAGTTGCAGGAGTTTTTCCATAAAATTAATTACAAGACGTCTCTCTTCAAAGACAATAAACATATTCAAACTCAAACTTCTAAAACACTACTTTTGATATCTAATAACTGACTTTCTTAACCATTTTGAAATAGAAGACACATGTGTTAAGAACTAGAAAATTAAAAAATTAAAAAAAAATTCTACAGGGTGTATTCTACTGCCTTTACTTGTCCTTGCACCAATTAACCAAAAACTATACAAAAGCATAATACAAAAGATAATACAAAAAATATTAACTAACATATTCATAGTCAACAGGATTCGAAGTTGAAAATACAATGATAATAAAAAAATATTAACTAACATATTCATAGTCAACAGGATTCGAAGTTGAAAATACAATGATAATACAAAAAATATTAACTAACATATTCATAGTCAACAGGATTCAAAGGGCAAAAAAAAAAAATTGATTTAGAAAGGAATGAAATAAGGAACACGGAATAAAGCTAAATACATATATAAAGAATTAGAATAGATTGTATAGAGAAAATTATAAAAATATTTCGATTTCGTGTACTTACGTACCTTACCTGACAATATATTTCGTACACAAATAAATAATTAATGACAATTTTACATCACATTTTATATTTCTACAGGTCAAATTACATGTAGACTTTTAAAAGGAAGGCTATTATTACTTTCATATTCTTGACATTCTCATATTAGGCAAAAGAAATGCTTTTAACGCTTTTGTACGCCAACCACTCGCAATCGACAGGATTCGAACCTGTGCGGGGAGACCCCAATGGATTTCGAGTCCATCGCCTTAACCACTCGGCCACGACTGCACGAAAGTTAGAAAGGAGTTGTACGTGACTTTCAGTAATAAAAAGTAAAAAATAAAATACATTACATTAAAATAAAAATAAAAATCCACGTTTTATATTTCTACTGGTCAAAGTCTTTTCCTCCACATTGAAAAGGAAGGCGATCATTACGTTTATAATCTTAACATTCTCGTGTTAGGCAAAAGAATGTTTCTAACGTTTTAGTTCACCGTCTAATCGCAGCCGGCAGGATTCGAACCTGCGCGGGGAAACCCCAATGGATTTCAAGTCCATCGCCTTAACCACTCGGCCACGACTGCACGAAAATTGGCACGGAGTTGCACGTGACTTTGAGTAATAAAAAGAATGAAATACATAGCGTTAAAATGAAAAATATTTTTTTCCTAACTTAACTTTTTGAAAATGTAATTAATGACAATTCTAATAAATAATTAATGACAATTTTACATCACATTTTTATTTCTACAGGTCAAATTACATGTAGACTTTTAAAAGGAAGGCTATTATTACTTTTACATTCTTGACATTCTCATATAAGGCAAAAAAAAAATGCTTTTAACGCTTTAGTACGCCAACCACTCGCAGTCGACAGGATTCGAACCTGTGCGGGGAGACCCCAATGGATTTCGAGTCCATCGCCTTAACCACTCGGCCACGACTGCACGAAAGTTAGAAAGGAGTTGTACGTGACTTTCAGTAATAAAAAGTAAAAAATACATTACATTAAAATAAAAAATAAAAATCCACGTTTTATATTTCTACTGGTCAAAGTCTTTTCCTCCACACTGAAAAGGAAGGCGATCATTACGTTTATAATCTTGACATTCTCGTGTTAGGCAAAACAATGTTTCTAACGTTTTAGTTCACCGTCTAATCGCAGCCGGCAGGATTCGAACCTGCGCGGGGAAACCCCAATGGATTTCAAGTCCATCGCCTTAACCACTCGGCCACGACTGCACGAAAATTGGCACGGAGTTGCACGTGACTTTGAGTAATAAAAAGAACGAAATACATACCGTTGGAAATGAAAAATATTTTTTTTCCTAACTTAACTTTTTGAAAATGTAATTATTGACAATTCTAATAAATAATTAATGACAATTTTACATCACATTTTTATTTCTACAGGTCAAATTACATGTAGACTTTTAAAAGGAAGGCTATTATTACTTTTATATTCTTGACATTCTCATATAAGGCAAAAAAAAAAAAAATGCTTTTAACGCTTTAGTACGCCAACCACTCGCAGTCGACAGGATTCGAACCTGTGCGGGGAGACCCCAATGGATTTCGAGTCCATCGCCTTAACCACTCGGCCACGACTGCACGAAAGTTAGAAAGGAGTTGTACGTGACTTTCAGTAATAAAAAGTAAAAAAAAAATACATTACATTAAAATAAAAAATAAAAATCCACGTTTTATATTTCTACTGGTCAAAGTCTTTTCCTCCACATTGAAAAGGAAGGCGAACATTACGTTTATAATCTTAACATTCTCGTGTTAGGCAAAAGAATGTTTCTAACGTTTTAGTTCACCGTCTAATCGCAGCCGGCAGGATTCGAACCTGCGCGGGGAAACCCCAATGGATTTCAAGTCCATCGCCTTAACCACTCGGCCACGACTGCACGAAAATTGGCACGGAGTTGCACTTGACTAGGAGTAATAAAAAGAACGAAATACATACCGTGGAAATGAAAAATATTTTTTTTTCCTAACTTAACTTTTTGAAAATATAATTATTGACAATTCTAATAAATAATTAATGACAATTTTACATCACATTTTATATTTCTACAGGTCAAATTACATGTAGACTTTTAAAAGGAAGGCTATTATTACTTTCATATTCTTGACATTCTCATATTAGCAAAAAAAAAAAAAATGCTTTTAACGCTTTTGTACGCCAACCACTCGCAGTCGACAGGATTCGAACCTGTGCGGGGAGACCCCAATGGATTTCGAGTCCATCGCCTTAACCACTCGGCACGACTGCACGAAAGTTAGAAAGGAGTTGTACGTGACTTTCAGTAATAAAAAGTAAAAAATACATTACATTAAAATAAAAAATAAAAATCCACGTTTTATATTTCTACTGGTCAAAGTCTTTTCCTCCACATTGAAAAGGAAGGCGAACATTACGTTTATAATCTTAACATTCTCGTGTTAGGCAAAAGAATGTTTCTAACGTTTTAGTTCACCGTCTAATCGCAGCCGGCAGGATTCGAACCTGCGCGGGGAAACCCCAATGGATTTCAAGTCCATCGCCTTAACCACTCGGCCACGACTGCACGAAAATTGGCACGGAGTTGCACGTGACTTTGAGTAATAAAAAGAATGAAATACATGGCGTTAAAATGAAAAATATTTTTTTTCCTAACTTAACTTTTTGAAAATGTAATTAATGACAATTCTAATAAATAATTAATGACAATTTTACATCACATTTTTATTTCTACAGGTCAAATTACATGTAGACTTTTAAAAGGAAGGCTATTATTACTTTTATATTCTTGACATTCTCATATAAGGCAAAAAAAATGCTTTTAACGCTTTAGTACGCCAACCACTCGCAGTCGACAGGATTCGAACCTGTGCGGGGAGACCCCAATGGATTTCGAGTCCATCGCCTTAACCACTCGGCCACGACTGCACAGTTGTACGTGACTTTCAGTAATAAAAAGCCAAAAAAATAAAAATCCACGTTTTATATTTCTACTGGTCAAAGTCTTTTTCCTCCACATTGAAAAGGAAGGCGATCATTACGTTTATAATCTTGACATTCTCGTGTTAGGCAAAACAATGTAACGAAGGATTCGAACCTTTGAGTAATAAAAGGGGAGACCCCAATGGATTTCGAGTCCATCGCCTTAACCACTCGGCCACGACTGCACGAAAGTTAGAAAGGAACGTGACGTGACTCAGTAATAAAAAGTAAAAAATAAAATACATTACATTAAAATAAAAAATAAAAATCCACGTTTTATATTTCTACTGGTCAAAGTCTTTTTCCTCCACATTGAAAAGGAAGGCGATCATTACGTTTATAATCTTGACATTCTCGTGTTAGGCAAAAGAATGTTTCTAACGTTTTAGTTCACCGTCTAATCGCAGCCGGCAGGATTCGAACCTGCGCGGGGAAACCCCAATGGATTTCAAGTCCATCGCCTTAACCACTCGGCCACGACTGCACGAAAATTGGCACGGAGTTGCAGGTGACTTTGAGTAATAAAAAGAACGAAATACATACCGTGGAAATGAAAAATATTTTTTTTCCTAACTTAACTTTTTGAAAATGTAATTATTGACAATTCTAATAAATAATTAATGACAATTTTACATCACATTTTTATTTCTACAGGTCAAATTACATGTAGACTTTTAAAAGGAAGGCTATTATTACTTTTATATTCTTGACATTCTCATATAAGGCAAAAAAAATGCTTTTAACGCTTTAGTACGCCAACCACTCGCAGTCGACAGGATTCGAACCTGTGCGGGGAGACCCCAATGGATTTCGAGTCCATCGCCTTAACCACTCGGCCACGACTGCACGAAAGTTAGAAAGGAGTTGTACGTGACTTTCAGTAATAAAAAGTAAAAAATACATTACATTAAAATAAAAAATAAAAATCCACGTTTTATATTTCTACTGGTCAAAGTCTTTTCCTCCACATTGAAAAGGAAGGCGAACATTACGTTTATAATCTTAACATTCTCGTGTTAGGCAAAAGAATGTTTCTAACGTTTTAGTTCACCGTCTAATCGCAGCCGGCAGGATTCGAACCTGCGCGGGGAAACCCCAATGGATTTCAAGTCCATCGCCTTAACCACTCGGCCACGACTGCACGAAAATTGGCACGGAGTTGCACGTGACTTTGAGTAATAAAAAAAAAGAATGAAATACATGGCGTTAAATGAAAAATATTTTTTTCCTAACTTAACTTTTTGAAAATGTAATTAATGACAATTCTAATAAATAATTAATGACAATTTTACATCACATTTTTATTTCTACAGGTCAAATTACATGTAGACTTTTAAAAGGAAGGCTATTATTACTTTTATATTCTTGACATTCTCATATAAGGCAAAAAAAAAAAAATGCTTTTAACGCTTTAGTACGCCAACCACTCGCAGTCGACAGGATTCGAACCTGTGCGGGGAGACCCCAATGGATTTCGAGTCCATCGCCTTAACCACTCGGCCACGACTGCACGAAAGTTAGAAAGGAGTTGTACGTGACTTTCAGTAATAAAAAAAAAAAAAAATACATTACATTAAAATAAAAAATAAAAATCCACGTTTTATATTTCTACTGGTCAAAGTCTTTTCCTCCACATTGAAAAGGAAGGCGATCATTACGTTTATAATCTTGACATTCTCGTGTTAGGCAAAAGAATGTTTCTAACGTTTTAGTTCACCGTCTAATCGCAGCCGGCAGGATTCGAACCTGCGCGGGGAAACCCCAATGGATTTCAAGTCCATCGCCTTAACCACTCGGCCACGACTGCACGAAAATTGGCACGGAGTTGCAGGTGACTTTGAGTAATAAAAAGAACGAAATACATACCGTGGAAATGAAAAATTTTTTTTTCCTAACTTAACTTTTTTTAAATATAATTATTGACAATTCTAATAAATAATTAATGACAATTTTACATCACATTTTTATTTCTACAGGTCAAATTACATGTAGACTTTTAAAAGGAAGGCTATTATTACTTTTATATTCTTGACATTCTCATATAAGGCAAAAAAAAAAAATGCTTTTAACGCTTTTGTACGCCAACCACTCGCAGTCGACAGGATTCGAACCTGTGCGGGGAGACCCCAATGGATTTCGAGTCCATCGCCTTAACCACTCGGCCACGACTGCACGAAAGTTAGAAAGGAGTTGTACGTGACTTTCAGTAATAAAAAGTAAAAAAAAAATACATTACATTAAAATAAAAAATAAAAATCCACGTTTTATATTTCTACTGGTCAAAGTCTTTTCCTCCACATTGAAAAGGAAGGCGAACATTACGTTTATAATCTTAACATTCTCGTGTTAGGCAAAAGAATGTTTCTAACGTTTTAGTTCACCGTCTAATCGCAGCCGGCAGGATTCGAACCTGCGCGGGGAAACCCCAATGGATTTCAAGTCCATCGCCTTAACCACTCGGCCACGACTGCACGAAAATTGGCACGGAGTTGCACGTGACTTTGAGTAATAAAAAGAATGAAATACATAGCGTTAAAATGAAAAATATTTTTTTTCCTAACTTAACTTTTTGAAAATGTAATTATTGACAATTCTAATAAATAATTAATGACAATTTTACATCACATTTTTATTTCTACAGGTCAAATTACATGTAGACTTTTAAAAGGAAGGCTATTATTACTTTTATATTCTTGACATTCTCATATAAGGCAAAAAAATGCTTTTAACGCTTTAGTACGCCAACCACTCGCAGTCGACAGGATTCGAACCTGTGCGGGGAGACCCCAATGGATTTCGAGTCCATCGCCTTAACCACTCGGCCACGACTGCACGAAAGTTAGAAAGGAGTTGTACGTGACTTTCAGTAATAAAAAGTAAAAAATAAAATACATTACATTAAAATAAAAATAAAAATCCACGTTTTATATTTCTACTGGTCAAAGTCTTTTTCCTCCACATTGAAAAGGAAGGCGAACATTACGTTTATAATCTTAACATTCTCGTGTTAGGCAAAAGAATGTTTCTAACGTTTTAGTTCACCGTCTAATCGCAGCCGGCAGGATTCGAACCTGCGCGGGGAAACCCCAATGGATTTCAAGTCCATCGCCTTAACCACTCGGCCACGACTGCACGAAAATTGGCACGGAGTTGCACGTGACTTTGAGTAATAAAAAGAATGAAATACATAGCGTTAAAATGAAAAATATTTTTTTTCCTAACTTAACTTTTTGAAAATGTAATTAATGACAATTCTAATAAATAATTAATGACAATTTTACATCACATTTTTATTTCTACAGGTCAAATTACATGTAGACTTTTAAAAGGAAGGCTATTATTACTTTTATATTCTTGACATTCTCATATAAGGCAAAAAAAATGCTTTTAACGCTTTAGTACGCCAACCACTCGCAGTCGACAGGATTCGAACCTGTGCGGGGAGACCCCAATGGATTTCGAGTCCATCGCCTTAACCACTCGGCCACGACTGCACGAAAGTTAGAAAGGAGTTGTACGTGACTTTCAGTAATAAAAAGTAAAAAAAAAATACATTACATTAAAATAAAAAATAAAAATCCACGTTTTATATTTCTACTGGTCAAAGTCTTTTCCTCCACATTGAAAAGGAAGGCGAACATTACGTTTATAATCTTAACATTCTCGTGTTAGGCAAAAGAATGTTTCTAACGTTTTAGTTCACCGTCTAATCGCAGCCGGCAGGATTCGAACCTGCGCGGGGAAACCCCAATGGATTTCAAGTCCATCGCCTTAACCACTCGGCCACGACTGCACGAAAATTGGCACGGAGTTGCACGTGACTTTGAGTAATAAAAAGAATGAAATACATACCGTTTAAATGAAAAATATTTTTTTCCTAACTTAACTTTTTGAAAATGTAATTAATGACAATTCTAATAAATAATTAATGACAATTTTACATCACATTTTTATTTCTACAGGTCAAATTACATGTAGACTTTTAAAAGGAAGGCTATTATTACTTTTATATTCTTGACATTCTCATATAAGGCAAAAAAAATGCTTTTAACGCTTTAGTACGCCAACCACTCGCAGTCGACAGGATTCGAACCTGTGCGGGGAGACCCCAATGATTTCGAGTCCATCGCCTTAACCACTCGGCCACGACTGCACGAAAGTTAGAAAGGAGTTGTACGTGACTTTCAGTAATAAAAAGTAAAAAATACATTACATTAAAATAAAAAATAAAAATCCACGTTTTATATTTCTACTGGTCAAAGTCTTTTTCCTCCACATTGAAAAGGAAGGCGATCATTACGTTTATAATCTTGACATTCTCGTGTTAGGCAAAACAATGTTTCTAACGTTTTAGTTCACCGTCTAATCGCAGCCGGCAGGATTCGAACCTGCGCGGGGAAACCCCAATGGATTTCAAGTCCATCGCCTTAACCACTCGGCCACGACTGCACGAAAATTGGCACGGAGTTGCAGGTGACTTTGAGTAATAAAAAGAACGAAATACATACCGTGGAAATGAAAAATATTTTTTTTCCTAACTTAACTTTTTGAAAATGTAATTATTGACAATTCTAATAAATAATTAATGACAATTTTACATCACATTTTATATTTCTACAGGTCAAATTACATGTAGACTTTTAAAAGGAAGGCTATTATTACTTTCATATTCTTGACATTCTCATATTAGGCAAAAGAAATGCTTTTAACGCTTTTGTACGCCAACCACTCGCAGTCGACAGGATTCGAACCTGTGCGGGGAGACCCCAATGGATTTCGAGTCCATCGCCTTAACCACTCGGCCACGACTGCACGAAAGTTAGAAAGGAGTTGTACGTGACTTTCAGTAATAAAAAGTAAAAAATACATTACATTAAAATAAAGAAAAAATCCACATTTTATATTTCTACTGGTCAAAGTCTTTTCCTCCACATTGAAAAAAGGCGAACACGTTTTAATCTTATTTTCTGGTCAAAGTCTTTTCCTCCACATTGAAAAGGAAGGCGAACATTACGTTTATAATCTTAACATTCTCGTGTTAGGCAAAAGAATGTTTCTAACGTTTTAGTTCACCGTCTAATCGCAGCCGGCAGGATTCGAACCTGCGCGGGGAAACCCCAATGGATTTCAAGTCCATCGCCTTAACCACTCGGCCACGACTGCACGAAAATTGGCACGGAGTTGCACGTGACTTTGAGTAATAAAAAGAATGAAATACATAGCGTTAAAATGAAAAATATTTTTTTTCCTAACTTAACTTTTTGAAAATGTAATTAATGACAATTCTAATAAATAATTAATGACAATTTTACATCACATTTTTATTTCTACAGGTCAAATTACATGTAGACTTTTAAAAGGAAGGCTATTATTACTTTTATATTCTTGACATTCTCATATAAGGCAAAAAAAAATGCTTTTAACGCTTTAGTACGCCAACCACTCGCAGTCGACAGGATTCGAACCTGTGCGGGGAGACCCCAATGGATTTCGAGTCCATCGCCTTAACCACTCGGCCACGACTGCACGAAAGTTAGAAAGGAGTTGTACGTGACTTTCAGTAATAAAAAATAAAAAATACATTACATTAAAATAAAAAATAAAAATCCACGTTTTATATTTCTACTGGTCAAAGTCTTTTTCCTCCACACTGAAAAGGAAGGCGATCATTACGTTTATAATCTTGACATTCTCGTGTTAGGCAAAACAATGTTTCTAACGTTTTAGTTCACCGTCTAATCGCAGCCGGCAGGATTCGAACCTGCGCGGGGGGGAAACCCCAATGGATTTCAAGTCCATCGCCTTAACCACTCGGCCACGACTGCACGAAAATTGGCACGGAGTTGCAGGTGACTTTGAGTAATAAAAAGAACGAAATACATACCGTGGAAATGAAAAATTTTTTTTCCTAACTTAACTTTTTGAAAATGTAATTATTGACAATTCTAATAAATAATTAATGACAATTTTACATCACATTTTATATTTCTACAGGTCAAATTACATGTAGACTTTTAAAAGGAAGGCTATTATTACTTTCATATTCTTGACATTCTCATATTAGGCAAAAGAAATGCTTTTAACGCTTTTGTACGCCAACCACTCGCAGTCGACAGGATTCGAACCTGTGCGGGGAGACCCCAATGGATTTCGAGTCCATCGCCTTAACCACTCGGCCACGACTGCACGAAAGTTAGAAAGGAGTTGTACGTGACTTTCAGTAATAAAAAGTAAAAAATACATTACATTAAAATAAAAAATAAAAATCCACGTTTTATATTTCTACTGGTCAAAGTCTTTTCCTCCACATTGAAAAGGAAGGCGAACATTACGTTTATAATCTTAACATTCTCGTGTTAGGCAAAAGAATGTTTCTAACGTTTTAGTTCACCGTCTAATCGCAGCCGGCAGGATTCGAACCTGCGCGGGGAAACCCCAATGGATTTCAAGTCCATCGCCTTAACCACTCGGCCACGACTGCACGAAAATTGGCACGGAGTTGCACGTGACTTTGAGTAATAAAAAGAATGAAATACATAGCGTTAAAATGAAAAATATTTTTTTCCTAACTTAACTTTTTGAAAATGTAATTAATGACAATTCTAATAAATAATTAATGACAATTTTACATCACATTTTTATTTCTACAGGTCAAATTACATGTAGACTTTTAAAAGGAAGGCTATTATTACTTTTATATTCTTGACATTCTCATATAAGGCAAAAAAAAATGCTTTTAACGCTTTAGTACGCCAACCACTCGCAGTCGACAGGATTCGAACCTGTGCGGGGAGACCCCAATGGATTTCGAGTCCATCCCTTAACCACTCGGCCACGACTGCACGACTGCAGTTAGAAAGGAGTTGTACGTGACTTTCAGTAATAAAAAAAGTAAAAAATACATTACATTAAAATAAAAAAAAAATAAAAATCCACGTTTTATATTTCTACTGGTCAAAGTCTTTTTCCTCCACATTGAAAAGGAAGGCGATCATTACGTTTATAATCTTGACATTCTCGTGTTAGGCAAAACAATGTTTTAACGTTTTAGTTCACCGTCTAATCGCAGCCGGCAGGATTCGAACCTGCGCGGGGAAACCCCAATGGATTTCAAGTCCATCGCCTTAACCACTCGGCCACGACTGCACGAAAGTTAGAAAGGAGTTGTACGTGACTTTCAGTAATAAAAAGTAAAAAATACATTACATTAAAATAAAAAATAAAAATCCACGTTTTATATTTCTACTGGTCAAAGTCTTTTCCTCCACATTGAAAAGGAAGGCGAACATTACGTTTATAATCTTAACATTCTCGTGTTACCCAAAAGAAAGTTTATAACGTTTTAGTTCACCGTCTAATCGCAGCCGGCAGGATTCGAACCTGCGCGGGGAAACCCCAATGGATTTCAAGTCCATCGCCTTAACCACTCGGCCACGACTGCACGAAAATTGGCACGGAGTTGCAGGTGACTTTGAGTAATAAAAAGAACGAAATACATACCGTGGAAATGAAAAATATTTTTTTTTTCCTAACTTAACTTTTTGAAAATGTAATTATTGACAATTCTAATAAATAATTAATGACAATTTTACATCACATTTTTATTTCTACAGGTCAAATTACATGTAGACTTTTAAAAGGAAGGCTATTATTACTTTTATATTCTTGACATTCTCATATAAGGCAAAAAAATGCTTTTAACGCTTTAGTACGCCAACCACTCGCAGTCGACAGGATTCGAACCTGTGCGGGGAGACCCCAATGGATTTCGAGTCCATCGCCTTAACCACTCGGCCACGACTGCACGAAAGTTAGAAAGGAGTTGTACGTGACTTTCAGTAATAAAAAGTAAAAAATAAAATACATTACATTAAAATAAAAATAAAAATCCACGTTTTATATTTCTACTGGTCAAAGTCTTTTCCTCCACATTGAAAAGGAAGGCGAACATTACGTTTATAATCTTAACATTCTCGTGTTAGGCAAAAAGAATGTTTCTAACGTTTTAGTTCACCGTCTAATCGCAGCCGGCAGGATTCGAACCTGCGCGGGGAAACCCCAATGGATTTCAAGTCCATCGCCTTAACCACTCGGCCACGACTGCACGAAAATTGGCACGGAGTTGCACGTGACTTTGAGTAATAAAAAGAATGAAATACATAGCGTTAAAATGAAAAATATTTTTTTTTCCTAACTTAACTTTTTGAAAATGTAATTAATGACAATTCTAATAAATAATTAATGACAATTTTACATCACATTTTTATTTCTACAGGTCAAATTACATGTAGACTTTTAAAAGGAAGGCTATTATTACTTTTATATTCTTGACATTCTCATATAAGGCAAAAAAAATGCTTTTAACGCTTTAGTACGCCAACCACTCGCAGTCGACAGGATTCGAACCTGTGCGGGGAGACCCCAATGGATTTCGAGTCCATCGCCTTAACCACTCGGCCACGACTGCACGAAAGTTAGAAAGGAGTTGTACGTGACTTTCAGTAATAAAAAGTAAAAAATACATTACATTAAAATAAAAAATAAAAATCCACGTTTTATATTTCTACTGGTCAAAGTCTTTTCCTCCACATTGAAAAGGAAGGCGATCATTACGTTTATAATCTTGACATTCTCGTGTTAGGCAAAAGAATGTTTCTAACGTTTTAGTTCACCGTCTAATCGCAGCCGGCAGGATTCGAACCTGCGCGGGGAAACCCCAATGGATTTCAAGTCCATCGCCTTAACCACTCGGCCACGACTGCACGAAAATTGGCACGGAGTTGCAGGTGACTTTGAGTAATAAAAAGAACGAAATACATACCGTTAAAATGAAAAATATTTTTTTTTTCCTAACTTAACTTTTTGAAAATGTAATTAATGACAATTCTAATAAATAATTAATGACAATTTTACATCACATTTTTATTTCTACAGGTCAAATTACATGTAGACTTTTAAAAGGAAGGCTATTATTACTTTTATATTCTTGACATTCTCATATAAGGCAAAAAAATGCTTTTAACGCTTTAGTACGCCAACCACTCGCAGTCGACAGGATTCGAACCTGTGCGGGGAGACCCCAATGGATTTCGAGTCCATCGCCTTAACCATGAAGGACGTTTTAAAAAAACTTTTTCTAACCTAAATTTTTGAAAACTAATTTTGGATCTCCATAAACCACTTGAATAATTAACGACAATTCTACGTCACATTTTATATTTCTACTAGTTATTTTTTTTTCCCTCCACATTTAATAAAACGGCCATAATTTCGTTTATATTCTTGATATTCTCCCATTAGGTAAAATAATGTTCTTTACGATTCAGCACGACTGGATCCGAACCTGTGCGGGGAGACCCCAAAGGATTTTGAGTCAATCGCCTTAACCGCTCGGCCACGACGACACGAACACACGCAAAGTGGGCACTTGACTTTCAATGAAAGAAAGAGGAAAATGCATATCTTTAAAATAAAACCAACTATTCGTGGCCGGCCGAATTTGAACCTGCGGGAGGAAACCCCAATGGATTTCGAGTCCATCCCCTTAACCACTTGGCCACGACATCCCGAGAAGTCCGAAAGAGCTGCAAGACACTTTCTTTAAAATTAATTTCAAAACGTCCCTGTCTAATGATCATAAACGTATTCTAACTCAAATTTCTAAAACACTATTTTCGATCTATTTTCTATCCTGTGTTAAGAATTAGATTAGACTTTATGGTTAAATTTAAAAAAAATTCTATAGGGTGTATTCTTTTACCTTTACCTGTCCTTATAATTATATATATTAATTAAACAATAATTCTAAACAAAAACAATGCAATGAAAATACAAAAAGGTTAGCAAACAAATTCGTTGTTAACAAAATTAGACATTTTTAAGAAAATCCTAATTGATTTAGAAATAAATTAAAGAAAAAAAATAGCAAAATGACACACAATAATTTTAAGAGTTATCTTACATTGTAAGGATGAAATTAAGAAAATATTTCGATATGGTGTATTTGTGTACCTTTACTTGCCTTTATATTTCATACCCAAAAAAACAATACAATGCTAATTCAAAACGATTGACTTACACATTTTCTCTTAACAGAATTGGTCCCGTTTCAGTTTTTTAAGTATTTGATTATTTCATAATTACTGTTATTTTTGTTATTATAGCTTTTTTTTTTTTTAATTTTTTTTTACCTTTTTGTTTTTTAAGCGTTTTTTCCTCTCGCTCATCTTTTTAACTGGTAAGAGGCTAAATTGACTTGGATACACAGGTGGAATGAGTATTAATGTAATTTAATGTAAAGTAAAGAGGATTCGAACTTTGATGATGGTAACACGAATGGATTTAAAACGGGACAGTTTAAGAAGAATGGGAGACGCTTTTGTTAAAAATTACAATGGATAAAATCTTGAAAATTACAAAAATAGTTCTGAATTTTAAATTCATTTCATCAAATATGTCATTATATCTCATACAATAAGTTATGTAAGAATACCCCATATCTATTGTAAGTTTACTGGCGTTACCTCTCAGTCGCTTTTAGCAAGTTCGTGAACTGAAAGCTGTATGAGAATTTTTTTTTAATTAAAAGAAGGTATATTTATTCAAATAAAATAATGCTTTGCTATCTCGAATTTCTCTCCTTACTATTCTCACATTCCACAAAATTATGTGAATTGGTATCTGGTTTTGTTAAAATTAGTTGATAGACTGTTATCAATTACTGAGTATTATGTGGTATAATATATTCATTTATTATAATCAGCGGTTTTATCTCACATTATAAATAAAACATAGCAAATGAAAAACTGAGAAAACTACTTTTTTTACTCGACAGGATTTGAACTTGAATGAGGTATTCTCAGATGATGTTAAGCCCGTCACCTTAACCACATCGCCACGTTTGAACGTTCCTTAATTTTTTTTCTTTTCATTTAAAAAAATCTATATCTTTATAATAAATATAAATCATTCCATAGAGGATATTCTCTGTAGAACATTATTTACTCAATTCCCACTCTAAACTGAAAACATCATATATTAATATAAATGATTGAACATATGTTAAAATTATAAAAATTTCTCTATGTGGCGACAAAATGGAGAAGTCAGGAAATTTTATCGAAATTGAAAAGTCAGGCAAAATTGAAAAAATTCATAAGAATTTCTAAAAATCAGGGATAATTGCTGACGAGAACATTTTGCACCAAGCATGCGCGCTATCACCGATTTTACATCACTCGCGCATGGGCGATTTTGTAATCAAGCATGCTTGGCAACTTCTATCGTTACTTATTTTAATGCAACCTTACTTCTGCTGCTTTTTTTTATAATGAACTGTACAGTTTATGATTATCTCGTTTTTAAACGTGTCTTTTATTAACGTGTGCGTTTGTTTTTACTTGCGATCTGCTTGCAAGTACTATTATTTGTATTCCTGTTAGTTGCTAAATACAATTTAGAAAAGTAAGGATTTTCATATGTTTTTTAAATTTTTTATTAATTATTAATATTTATTTAATAATTATAAAATTTTTATTATTTTATTATTAGTATTTATTTACTGTGTAATAAGCTTAAATTCATTCCTTACGTTTAATTTCGCAATCCTTTAGCATCTGCATTGATTATTATGGGTTACTTATGCATTTGCTATTTATGTATTTAATTACTGAAAATTAAGTGTAATTAATTATTATCTATGTATATTTTAAATGCATTAAGACTAAATTATTTAGTCACGTTTTTTTTAATCTGTATGTTTAATGCCTATTTTAATTTGTCATTTGTGTGTTTAATTACTAATTCTGCTCTTAATTTGGTCTTCCATTATATTTGTACATAA